TTTTTTCCAGTGGCCCTAATCCTCTTCCGTACCAAAGGTTCTTTAAAGATGATTTTTAATGATATTATTATTAATGACTCCGCCCATGCAGGTGGGCTATATGGCAGACCAACAAGGTGAAACTCAGGACCATTAATTTAGATTTGCTATCCAATATGAGCGACTGGCCAAAATCTGGGAAATATTTTGGAAAAAATATGGGAAATCATCCTTTATTGTTCTTGTTCAAACTTTGCTCGAATCTGTACAGGTTACTAAAATTTAAAATTTGTTTAACAAACTAAAATCTAAATTCTGAATTAATGTTTTTTTATTGTTAAACGCACAATAAAATGCAACCAAAAAACAGAAAGTATCCTTATTTATTGATTGATTAATTAATTTATTTATTTATTTATGTATTTTTGATTGATCTATTGATCTACTTTTGGCAAAATTATAAAAAAATAAAGTGAGTAAATAAGATGATCAACGAGGCTGTTTATAAGCACTCAAAAACATAATTATTAATGAAAGTTTCTGTTTGCAGGGCATGCGCAATTACCTGGTTCTCATTGAACGAGTCCAAAATGTCCGCAGATCCAAAGTGTTTCCGCGCAGACTTTCTCTGATGTTTTCCAAAAAAAAAAAATATCAGTTTCTACTGTCCGGCTATGTCCACGTAAACGATTGTTCTTATTCACAAAATGAGTATTGCAAGCGAGCTTTTCTTTTCATCTGACATAAGCTTGTCCAAAAAACAAAGACAACAGGCGATTGCTGAGTTTCTCAACAGGTTATTCATGCTTCAGAAAAGGTTGGCATAAAGTGTCCGGAGCCCACCGTGCAGCAGAGCTCCTTAAAATGCTTCTGCACTGCACTGACGCAGATCTCCTCCCCCATAGAAAGTGACATATTTACTTTCACTTTCGCAATTAAGGTCTGCTCCTGTTTCAAATGCTGAAAACCTTCAGATTAGGCAGCTTCACCCAGACAACAGGAAATGACACAATCTAAAGAGCATTACACAGTGGAGACAGGGGGAAAAAGTTCCTAAAAAATAGCTGTAAGTGAGGAAAATTTAATCAGGTGGAAATATCTATTCTGGATGATAACATAATGCACGTCAATTTTATTATAAGAGGTCAAAGGGGATTCATGCCACTCCTTACAGGATTTTCTTTATGGGCAGCCTGGAAAAAAAAAGTCACTATAAAGAGTCTTCCTGATTTAAGAAAGGGTTTGGAAAATACCTAAAAGAATATTCATAAGAATGAAACAGGTCATGTTGGTGGATAAAATGAATGAAACAGAAATAATACATTTCAAGAAAGGCGCCAAAGTAATTGAAAACCAGAGGTGTGTACAAATACTTTGTTACTGTACTTAAGTACACTTATTAGGCATCTATACTTTACTTAGTTACTTATTTTTCTTCCCTACTTCTGACTTCTTCTCATTACATTTTCAGACAAGTTTCTGTTCTTTCTGTTCCTGGCATTTTTAAAACAAACATTACTCGTTAGTTTTGGCTTCGGTTTAATGTTTACAAATATTTATTTCACGTCATGTGCGCCATCCAATTCAGAAAAAGATGTTGAAATGAAACACAGGTAAGAGCATATTGGGACCAGCAAGACCTCCCTCATCNAGACGTTTCTGGTGGCCTACGTTACACAAGGATGTGAAGGAGTACGTTTTGGCCTGCTCCATATGTGCCAGAAACAAGACCTCACATCAACCGCCTTCTGGCCTGTTGCATCCTCTTCCTGTTCCAACTCGTCCCTGGTCTCACATCGCCATAGATTTTGTTACTGGTCTCCCAATCTCCAGAGGTATGTCTACTATTTTTACCATTGTTGATCGATTTTTGAAGTCATGTCATCTGATTCCCCTCAGGAAACTTCCCACGGCCTTTCAAACCGCCCAGCGCCTAGTGAAACATGTTTTCCGACTCCATGGTATTCCCCAGGAAATTCTCTCTGACCGCGGACCGCAGTTTATCTCCCAAGTCTGGAAGGCCTTCTGTGCAGCTCTGAATTGTAAGTCGTCACTTACTTCTGGTTATCATCCTCAGTCCAACGGTCAGACAGAGAGAATGAACCAACAGCTCGAATTGACTCTCCGCTGTCTGACCTCCAACAACCCCACTGATTGGAGTCAATACCTCACATGGATCGAATATGCCCACAACTCCCTCAAGTCTGCTTCCACCGGTCAATCACCATTCCAGGTCAGTCTCGGATATCAACCCCCTCTTTTTCCAGCAGACGAGAGAGAGATTTCGGTTCCATCTGTCAATCACCACATCCGCCGCTGTCAACGTGTCTGGAAGGACACCATCGCCTCTCTCAATCGATCTTCTGTGACCACCAAGCGCTTTGCGGACGCCAAGAGACGTCCTGCCCCAGAGTACGCCATCGGTCAGGAGGTATGGCTTTCCACTCGGGACATTCCCTTGAGGGGAATGTCCCGCAAGTTGTCTCCGAGATTCATTGGCCCATACAAGATTGCCCAGGTTATAAACCCTTCCGCCGTACGCCTGCACCTTCCTCCGAGTCTCCGCATACACCCCACGTTCCATGTCTCCCAGATAAAACCAGTTGTCACCAGTCCTTTGTGCCCTCCACCCACCCTGGACGTCGATGGACATCCTGCCTTCACCGTCCGCCGGATCGTGGACTCCCGTCGGCGAGGTCGCGGATGGCAGTACCTTGTCGATTGGGAGGGCTATGGTCCGGTGGATCGCCAATGGGTTCCTGGCTCCTACATCCTCGATCCGTCCCTGATTGAGGATTATGAGCGCTCCCTCCCGTCGACATCTTCTGGACCGCCAAGAGGCGGTCGTTGAGGGGGGGTACTGTTGGGATCTGGAGCTGTACCACCTTCCTCCAGCAGAGTGCGCCGTGGGTCCTCCTGAGCTGAGCCCCCAACACACCTGTGGCGCATCTCA